CCCGCTCGTCTTCTGTTCTCAGCTCCAGTTGTGAGGCTGAGATCTACGCAGGGGCCATGGCTGCACAGGAGTTACGCTGGCTCACCTACCTGCTGACCGACCTGGGAGAGCCGCCTCGTTCTCCTCCAGTGCTGTACGTCGACAACAAGGCCATGATTGCCTTGTGTCAGGAGCACAGACTGGAGCACAGAATGAAGCACATCGCTCTGCGTTACTTCCTTGCTCGAGAGTTGCAGCAGCGTGGTCAGCTTCGTCTTGCTTACGTGGCCACTCGGGCCAACACTGCTGATGTCTTCACCAAGGCGCTTCAGCCTTGTGATCATCAGCGATTCTGTACTGTTCTAGGCCTTGTGCCTACTGTGCCTCACTTGCTTACTTCTTGACTCTGCTTGTACTGTGATCTCTATACCTATACCTGCATGCTTACACTTGCTAGGTTGTGATCGCTGTATTGCTTGTTCTCCTTTATATAACTCTGCATGTGAACTGGCCTTGTGGCCATTTGCTTGTGCTCAGAATGCGTGGTGACGTCGTGATCTACCCTGAGCTTGCTTTACCTTTCTTGACCGGTCTTGTGACCTCTTGTTCTCCCCCACTTTGCCTATGGGGGTGTGTCAAACTTATATGCTATAGACTGTGTAGGCTGTAGTGGGGTAGTTCATATAGGGTACAACATTTTTAGGTTTCCTACTTGTACCCACCTGCTTGCTAGTTCAGTCATTCCTTCCTTCACTATTCTGACAATTCCTAGCTAGTAACTTCGCGTTTCATCCGATCTGTACACCGTACAATCAGGGTTTGACTCAGCGAAACAGAAACCGACTGCCCATGGATAGTCTACAGAATGCGAATGTCAGCTTATTGTACTACCGTTTACAGGCGCAAATATTTTAAACTTCCAAATACAACCTCGTAATCTGTGACAGTTAACCAGGTAAGTTAACTATCAGAGAAACACCAACAAAAATATAATGAGCTGTCGATTGATACATATTCTGAAACTTACTTAGTGACGGAAAGAGTTGAAGGCTAAATAAATACATATCGCATTTTTGAAATATCTCATATTATTTTCAATTGCATGAAAATTACAATAGCTTGCACATTATTGCATGTAAAAAAAAAGACTACTTAGTATGCAAAGGTACGACAATATATGTGCATAATAATCAAACATCAAACTCATATCAATTGCAAAACTTTGGTAGAACGATTTTATATTGTATCTATAGCATGTTACATTTCACTAAATTTGGTTCTTGACTAGCTTTGAACAGCGTGATATTATTTTGCTATGGCGTTTCCTTAGAGCATTTGACATACTGACGCATATTACGAGGTTGCATTTCAAAGTTTTAACAATTCACGCCTGTAAGCGGTAGTACAATAAACTGACATTCGCATTCTCTTGACTATCCCTGGGCAGTCGATTTCCGTTTCGCTGAGTCAAACCTGGATTGTACGGTGTGCAGATCGGTTGAAACGCGAAGTTACTGTCAGAATAGCAAACGAGAATGAATGAACTAGCAGCAATGTGGGTACAAGTAGGAAACCCTAATTGGGTTGTACCCCATATGGGCTACCCCACTATAGCCTACACAATTGTCAGAACTATGCATTTATATGCTCTAGGCTGTAGTGGGGCACTCATTATGGGGTACAGCCCAATTAGGTTTTGCTATACAAACCCTGTACTGATGTCATTCTAGTCATTTCTTCATTCCTACTTTCTGACATGGTTTCAGAGCAGGTTCCCTAGTGGGAACGTATTTTTCAGGGCCCACCACGATAGTTTTTTCCTGCCCTGCCCGAAGCGCGCCTCGCGCCTGCCTCACCTGCGCCGTCGCGCGCCCTGCCCTACTGCCGCCCGTAGCGGCCCTGCCCTCCCGGCCCGTCGCGGCCCTGCCCTAACGGCCCGTCGCGGCCCTGACCTAGCCGCCCGTCGCGGCCCTGCCCTGTCGCCGCCCGTCGCGGCCTGACCTAGCCGCCCGTCGCGGCCTGACCTAGCCGCCCATCGCGGCCCTGCCCTGCCGCCCCCCGTTGCGGCCCTGACCTCGCTGCTCGTCGCAGCCCTGCCCTGCCGCCACTCATCGCGGCCCTGCCCTCAGCCGCTCGTCGCGGCCGTGCTCTACCGCCGCCCCGTCACGGCCCTGCCCTGCAGCCGCCTTGTCGCGGCTTTGCCCTGCTGCCGCCCCGTCGCGGCCCTGCTCTGCCGCCGCCTCGTCGCGGCCCTGCCCTACAGCCGCCCCGTTGCGGCCCTGACCTAACCGCCCGTCGCGGCCCTACCCTGCCCCTGGTAAGCGCCCGCCCTGCTAAGCGCCCGCCCTGCTAAGCGCGCCGCCGCGCCCGCCTGCATACCGCGCCGCGCCGCCCAGCCGAGCCGCGCCGCCCAGCCGAGCCGTGCCGCCCAGCCGAGCCGCGCCGCCCTGCCGAGCCGCGCCGCCCTGCCGAGCCGCGCCGCTCTGCTGGACCGCGCCGCCCTGCCCTACTGCGCTGCGCTGCCCTCCTCGCGCTCCTCCTGCTGTTCCTGCTGCTTCTGCTGCCACTGCTACTCCTGCTGCTACTGCCGCCATGGCTAGCCCTACTGTTCTTACCTTTGATGCTGAGGGTCGTGCGGTAGATTTCGACGTTTGGGTAGATGACCTGCAGCTCTTTCTTCAGTGCGACTCTAGGGACGGAGTCTCACTTTTCGATCACACGTCCGGCGCCTCTGTTGCACCTGCTGCCACTGCTGACCGTACGGTTCGCTCGCAGTGGACTACTCGTGACGCTGTTGCTCGCCTTGCTGTTCGTAGTCACCTGCCGTCTGCTGAGCGCGCGCACTTTGGCCAGTGCAAGACTGCTAAGTCTCTGTATGACGCTGTCGTCGCGCGCTACTCCTCCCCTGCCACTGCTGCCCTCAGCCGCCTCATGCTACCGTACTTGTTCCCTGACCTGGCCGCCTTTGCCACAGTAGCTGACCTCATCACTCACCTCCGCACTAGTGACACCCGCTACCGCGCTATGCTTCCCTCCGAGTTTCGCGCCAAGAACCCCCCCCCCATGTACATCACCCTCTTCTACCTCGTCACCCGTCTCCCTGACTCTCTTCGCTCCATCAGGGACCACTTTCTCTCCCTTCGCCCCACCAAGCTCACCGTCGACCTGCTCGAGGAGCGCCTCACTGCAGCTGAGACTAGCATAGTCGCTGTAGGAGCTTCTCGCGGCGACCCTCGCGCCCTTTCTTTGAGGGGTGTTCCCGTGTTCCCCTTTTGCCCTCTGTTGCTTCTGCTGCTGCTGTCGACCTCGTTGGCACCGAGGAAGTCGGGGCTGCGTCTGCTCCTAGTGGGAGGCGCCGCAGCGGCAAGGGCAAGGGGGGCAAGGGTGGTGGAGGGGACGGCGGGGGCGGCGGTGGTGGCGGTGGAGGAGGCGGAGGGGGTGGGGGTGGAGGTGGGGGTGGTGGCGGGAGTGGGGGCGTCGGTGGCGGCGGTGGAGGTGGTGGAGGCAGCTGCAGCGGCAGTGGGGGTGGCGGCGGTGGTGGTGCTGGTCGGGGTGGAGCCGCGCAACGTGGAGGCTTTGGTGGTAGCCAGCGACAGCAGCAGCCGCGTTCCCGTGAGGCCCCGTCGCCCCAGCAACTTCGTGAGTGGTACGCTGGGCGTGGGAGGTCTGGGGGTGCTGGTCCCTGCGCTTACGTTCTCCGCACCGGCGAGCGCCGTGGGGAGACGTGCGGGCTGCCACACACGACGCAGCGCTGTTTCGGTCGCCTGTCTGACGCCTGGCGCGCACAGTTTCCTGACGCCGCTGAGCTCCCTCGCTGGGCTGATCTTGATTTCGATGCTATCATTGCTGCCATGTATGCTGTGACTATTAGTGCTGAGGGTGACTGTTACCTGTGTGTTCCGCCCGACCCGGGCATTGAGGCTGCTGCTCTAGGTGCTAGTGAGTCTGCTGCTCCAGGTGCTAGTGAGTCTGCTCTCTCAGGTACTGCGCCTGCTGAGGCCTTGCACACCTTCACGCTTGACTCAGGTGTTTCCCGCTCCTTCTTTCGCGACAGCACCACACTCACGCCGCTCAGTCGGCCGGTTGCAGTCTCTCTGGCGGACCCCTCTGGGGGCCCAGTCCTTGCGCACTCCTCTACGGTTCTGCCGTGTTCGGCGGCCCCGTCTGGCTCACTGTCGGGTCTTCACCTCCCCTCGTTCTCTACGAACTTGGTGAGTGGAGCTGACCTCCAGGACGTGTGGGTTGACCAGTTCACTCCTGGAGGTCAGCGTGTGACCCACTGTACGTGTACTCGGACGGGCCGCCACCTGGCCACGTTCACCCGTCAGCCTAGGTCGAGACTGTACACACTGACTACTGAGTCTCCTCCGGTTGTTGAGTCTGGTCAGGTAGCCGCGTCTGGTCAGGTGTTTGCTGCCGCGTCCAGGTCTGGTCCGGAGTCTGCCCCCTGCTCGTGTCATCTCCTGTTACACCAGACTCTCCTTTGGCACCACCGCCTTGGTCACCCCTCCCTGCCTCGTCTCCGAGGTATGGCCTCCCGTACCCTAGTCTCTGGTCTCCCCCGGTCTCTCCCTCCCCTCCCACCGGGGCCTGCCCCTACCTGCGTTCCTTGCGTCGAGGGACGGCAGCGCGCCGCTCCTCACTCCTCCGAGTTCCCTTTGACGGAGGCTCCCCTGCAGACTCTCCACATGGACGTGTGGGGCCCAGCCCGCGTCCGTGGACAGGGTCACGAGCGTTACTTTCTGCTGGTCGTTGACGACTACTCGCGTTACACCACAGTCTTCCCCTTGCGCCGCAAGGGTGAGGTCACTGAGGTGTTGATCACCTGGATCCGCGCTGCCCGTCACTAGCTCAGCGAGAGTTTCGGCTCGGACCTTCTTGTTCTGCGTCTGCACTCCGACAGAGGTGGTGAGTTTTCCTCCGACCTTCTGCGGGCCTTCTGTCGTGCGGAGGGTATCCGCCAGTCGTTCACGCTTCCGGCCTCCCCACAGCAAAATGGGATTGCTGAGCGCCGCATTGGCATGGTCATGGACGTCGCTCGTACGTCCATGATCCATGCGGCTGCTCCCCATTTTCTGCGGCCATTCGCGGTCCAGTACGCTGCGCATCAGCTCAACCTCCAGCCCCGTGTCTCCATGCCGGAGACCACACGTGCTCTGCGGTGGACGGGGAAGGTTGGCGATGCGTCTGTGTTCCGTATCTGGGGATCTCGAGCTTTTGTCCGCGATTCTTCCGCGGACAAGCTGTCCTCCCGTGCTGTTCCCTGCGTCTTCCTTGGCTTCCCCACTGACGCGCCTGGTTGGCTGTTTTACCACCCCACCTCGCGTCGTGTTCTGTCCTCTCAGGACATCACGTTTGACGAGTCGGTTCTTTACTACCGTCTCTTCCCCTACCGCACTGCCCCTCTCCCCCCACCGCCGCTCTTCCTAGCACCAGGTCCTCCTCCGGTAGACCCCCTCCCCCCTCAGTTTCCTGCCCCCTCTGGTGTGTCCCAGGTAGACCCTGTCGAGCCTGTCGAGGTAGCTGTCGACTCTGGTGCTGCTAGGGGTGCTGAGCCTGCGGGTGCGGGGCCTGGGGGTGCTGAGCCTGAGCGTGCGGAGCCTGGGGGTGCTGAGCCTGGGGTTGCTGAGTCTGAGGGTGCGGAGCCTGGGGGTGCTGAGCCTGAGCGTGCGGAGCCTGGGGGTGCTGAGTCTGGGGGTGCTGAGTCTGGGGGTGCTGAGCCTGGGGGAGCTGAGTCTGGGGGTACTTCGTCCTCTGGACGTCCTACGGGTGTCTTGTCACGGCGGGAGCCACTCTCTCCACCGCAGCTGCGCGAGTGGTTTGCTCGGCGCTGGAGCCGTGCTGCTGGAGCTGGAGGTACTGCTGCTGCTGGAGGTGCTGGAGCCGCTGGTCCCGGAGGTGCTCGTACTGGAGGTACTGGAGCTGCTGGAGCTGGAGGTGCTGCTGGAGCTGAAGGTGCTGGAGCTGCTGGAGGTGCTGGAGCCACTGGTCCAGGAGGTGCTCGTACTGGAGGTATTGGAGCTGCTGGAGCTGGAGGTGCTGCTGGAGCTGGAGGTACTGCTGGTGCTGGAGGTGCTGGAGGTGCTGGAGCCGCTGGTCCCGGAGGTGCTCGTACTGGAGGTACTGGAGCTGCTGGAGCTGGTGGTGCTGCGGGAGTTGGAGCTGGAGGCGCTGGAGCTGTTGCTGCTGGAGGTGCTGCTGGAGCTGGAGCTGCTGGAGGTGCTGGAGTTGGTGGTGCTGCAGGAGTTGGAGCTGGAGACCCTGGAACTGGGGGTACTGGTGCTGTCTCTGCTGGTTCTGGAGGCGCTGCGCGGCCGCGGCCGTACTTCGTTCCACTCCTTCAGCAGGTTCTTGGTCTCCCGCCTTCCACTGGTCCTACTCCTCCCTTACTGTGTCCACCGCCTGACCAGTCGCGGTCGCAGTTACAGCCAGCCTCCCCACTGCCTGGTCCTTCTCCTTACACTGGGCCGACCGGAGGTCTTGCGGAGCGTTGTGAGCCTGAGTCTCGTCCTGCGTCGCCTGTTCGCACTGTTCGCACTGGTCGTCGTGTTCCGCGTCAGCGTCCTCCTCCTGTCCCCGGCACGCACCAGATGGCACTTCGTCCTTCCTCTGTTCCAATACGTGTCCCTCTGCCATCTCCTCCTGCGTCCTCTCTTCCTGACGTCCCTGACCCGCCGCCAGACCTTGCTCGTGCTGCCAGTCCTACTGTCACACGTCTTCTAGCTACTGCTGTCACTGACCCTTCGTTTGAGTCCACTGCTGCGTCTGCCCTTGTTGCTGAGCTTGTCGACTTTGCTGCCGCCTGTTGTCTAGACTACGCCGCTAGTCTTGTTGCTGAGTCTGAGTCTGTCTGTCCTCCGTCCGTCGGGGGTGAGTGTGCTCTTGGCACGGACGTCCTTGAGGACAGGCAGGAGGACTTTGAGTATTTTGCAGCTGCTTTACCTCATCTCGTGTCCATGCTGATTGCACCTGAGGGAGACCCGGATGCACCAGACATCCCGACCCCGCGCTCTTACGCAGAGGCGATTGAGGGTCCCTACTCCTCTCAGTGGCAGACAGCCATGGACGCAGAGATGGCTTCCTGGAAGTCCACAGGCACCTACGTCGACGAGGTTCCCCCACCTGGGGCGAACATCGTCAGTGGCATGTGAATTTTCAGGGTGAAGCGGCCGTCGGGTTCTCCGCCTGTCTTCAAGGCCCGTTACGTTGCTCGAGGCTTCAGTAAACGACAGGGAGTTGACTTCTTCCAGACCTTCTCCCCTACACCGAAGATGACCACTCTTCAGGTGCTGCTGCACGTTGCCGCACAGCGTGACTACGAGCTTCACTCTCTTGACTTCAGCACAGCCTTCCTACAGGGCAGCCTGCACGAGGAGATCTGGCTGCGCCGCCCACCTGGCTTCACTGGGTCGTTTCCTGCAGGTACCCAGTGGAGCCTCCGGCGGCCAGTCTACGGTCTCCGCCAGGCGCCTCGCGAGTGGCACGACACACTGAGGACGACACTTGCGGCTCTTGGGTTTGCTCCTTCTACTGCTGACCCGTCGCTGTTTCTACGCACCGACACTTCGCTGCCGCCGTTCTACATCCTCGTGTACGTCGACGACTTGGCCTTTGCCACTGCTGATACCGAGGGACTCGCCCACGTGAAGTCGGAGATGCAGAAGAGACACACGTGCACAGACCTGGGTGAGCTGCGCAGCTATCTTGGCTTGCAGATCACCCGGGACAGAGCACAGCGCACCATTACCTTGACTCAGTCACACATGGTGCAGCAGGTCCTTCAGCGCTTCCGCTTCACGTACTCCTCGCCACAGTCCACTCCTCTGCCTACCGGTCACTCGCTCTCAGCTCTGCCTTTGGATGAGTCCGTAGAGCCGAGTGGCCCGTATCCAGAGCTTGTGGGCTGCCTCATGTACCTGATGACCTGCACTCGACCTGACCTTGCTTACCCTCTTAGTATCCTGGCTCGCTACGTTGCGCCCGGGAGACACCGACCAGAGCACTTGGAGGCCGCTAAGAGGGTGATGCGCTACTTGTGCAGTACGTCGGGCATGGGGCTCGTGCTTGGAGGACGGGCTCGAGTTGTCCTCACTGGTCACGCAGACGCTTCTTGGGTTGACGACTTGGCTACGCAGCGGTCGTCACAGGGTTACTCCTTCAGCCTTGGCTCCGGCTCTGTTTCTTGGCGGTCTACCCGCTCGTCTTCTGTTCTCAGTTCCAGTTGTGAGGCTGAGATCTACGCAGGGGCCATGGCCGCACAGGAGTTACGCTGGCTCACCTACCTGCTGACCGACTTGGGCGAGACGCCTCGTTCTCCTCCAGTTCTGTACGTCGACAACAAGGCCATGATTGCCTTGTGTCAGGAGCACAGACTTGAGCAGAGAACGAAGCACATCGCTCTGCGCTACTTCCTTGCTCGAGAGTTGCAGCAACGTGGTCAGCTTCGTCTTGCTTACGTGGCCTCTCGGGCCAACACTGCTGATATCTTCACCAAGGCACTTCAGCCTTGCGATCATCAGCGTTTCTGTACTGTTCTAGGCCTTGTGCCTACTTGCCCTCACTTGCTTACTTCTTGACTTTGCTTGTACTGTGATCTATATACTTATACCTTCATGCTTACACTAGCTAGGTCGTGATCACTGTACTGCTTGTTCTCCTTCATATAACTCTGGATGTGAACTGGCCTTGTGGCCATTTGCTTGTGCTCGGACTGCGTGGTGACGTTGTGATCCACCCTGAGCTTGACCTTGCTTCGTTCTCTTGCTTGTCCCCCACTTTGCCTATGGGGGTGTGTCTGAACTATGCATTTATTTGCTCTAGGCTGTAGTGGGGCACTCATTATGGGGTACAGCCCAATTAGGTTTTGCTATACAAACCCTGTACTGCTTTCATTCTAGTCATTCTTCATTCCTACTTTCTGTCAACAATAAGCAGCATAAGACCGGTCACAAAGTGGGGGAGAACAAGAGGTCACAAGACCGGTCAAGAAAAGCAAAGCAAGCTCAGGGTGGATCACGAAGTCACCACGCATTCTGAGCACAAACAAATGTTAGAGACTAGAAGTGAACGAGAATGTGTGAAACTAGGCAGCAGGGTGATACAAGTAGGAAACCCTAGCAATGTTGTACCCCCTAAGGCTAAACCCACTATAGCCTACACATTAGGAACATGTATAATGTTTGACACACCCCCATAGGCTAAGTGGGAGACAACCAGATGGTCACAAGACCAGTCAAAGCAAAGCAAAGCAAGCTCAGGGTGGATCTCAAGGAACCACACAAATTCCGAGCACAAGCAAGAGGTCACAAGACCAGTTCCCATGCAGTTTGATAAAATAACAAGAGGTACAGTGATCACAACCAAGCAAGTGTAAGCATGCAGGTATATATATATATAGAGATCACAGTACAAGCAGAGTCAAGAAGTGAGCAAGAGAGGGACAGTAGGCACAAGGCCTAGAACAGTACAGAAACGCTGATGGTCACAAGGCTGAAGCGCCTTGGTGAACACATCAGCAGTGTTGGCCCGAGTGGCCACGTAAGTAAGACGAAGCTGACCACGCTGCTGCAACTCTCGAGCAAGGAAGTAGCGCAGAGCGATGTGCTTCGTTCTGTGCTCCAGTCTGTGCTCCCGACACAAGGCAATGGCGGCCTTGTTGTCGACGTACAACACTGGAGGAGAACGAGGCCGCTCTCCCAGGTCGATCAGCAGGTAGGTGAGCCAGCGTAGCTCCTGGGCAGCCATGGCTGTGGCGTAGATCTCAGCCTCACAACTGGAGCTGAGAACTAAAGACGAGCGTGTAGAACGCCAAGAAACTGAACCAGAGCCAAGGCTGAAGGTGTAACCCTGAGACGACCGCTGCGTAGCCTGGTCGTCAGCCCAAGAAGCGTCTGGGTGTCCAGTGAGGACAACGTCGCGCCGTCCTCCAAGCACAAGCCCCATGCCCGACGTACTGCACAAGTAGCGCAACACCCTCTTAGCGGCATCCATGTGCTCCTTCCGGTGACGGCCAAGAGCGACATAGCGTGCTAGGATGCTAAGAGGGTATGCAAGGTCAGGTCGAGTGCAGGTCATCAGGTACATGAGGCAGCCCACAAGCTCTGGATACGGGCCACTCGGCTCTACGGACTCATCCGAAGGCAGAGCTGAGAGCGAGTGACCGGTAGGCAGAGGAGTGGGCTGAGGCGAGGAGTACGTGAAGCGGAAGCGCTGAAGGACCTGCTGCTGCACCATGTGTGACTGAGTCAAGGTGATGGTGCGCTGTGCTCTGTCCCGGGTGATCCGCAAGCCAAGATAGCTTGTCAGCTCACCCAGGTCTGTGCACGTGTGTCTCTTCTGCAGCTCCGACCTCACGTGGGCGAGTGCCTCAGTGTCAGCAGTAGCAAAGACCAAGTCGTCTACGTACACGAGAACGTAGAACGGCGTCAGAGTGGTGTCGGTGCGTAGAAACAGCGACGGGTCAGCAGTAGAAGGAGCAAATCCAAGAGCAGCAAGAGTAGTCCTCAGTGTGTCGTGCCACTCACGGGGTGCCTGGCGGAGACCGTAGACTGGCCGCCGGAGGCTCCACTGGGTACCAGGAGGGAACGACCCAGTGAAGCCAGGTGGGCGGCGCAGCCAGATCTCCTCGTGCAGGCTGCCCTGTAGGAACGCAGTGCTGAAGTCAAGAGAGTGGAGCTCGTAGTCACGCTGAGCAGCGACGTGCAGCAGAACCCGAAGAGTGGTCATCTTCGGGGTCGGGGAGAAGGTCTGGAAGAAGTCAACTCCCTCTCGCTAACTGAAGCCTCGTGCAACGTAACGCGCCTTGAAGACAGGCGGAGAACCCGGCGGCCGCTTCACCCTGAAAATCCACATGCCACTGACGATGTTCGCCCCAGGTGGGGGAACCTCGTCGACGTAGGTGCCTGTGGACTTCCAGGAAGCCATCTCTGCGTCCATGGCTGTCTGCCACTGAGAGGAGTAGAGACCCTCCATCGCCTCTGCGTAAGAGCGTGGGGTCGGGATGTCTGGTGCATCCGGGTCTCCCTCAGGGGCAATCAGCATGAACACGAGATGAGGTAAAGCAGCGTCAAAGCACTCAAACTCCTCCTGTCTGTCCTCAAGGACGTCCGTGCCAAGAGCACACTCACCCCCGACGGACGGAGGACAGACAGACTCAGACTCAGCAACAAGGCTAGCGGCGTAGTCTAGACGACAGGCGGCAGCAAAGTCAACAAGCTCAGCAACTAGAGCAGACGCAGCAGTGGACTCAAAGGAAGGGTCAGTGACAACAGTAGCGAGAAGACGCGTGACTGTAGGACTGGCAGCACGAGCAAGGTCTGACGGCGGGTCAGCAACGTCAGGAAGAGAGGACGCAGGAGGAGACGGCAGAGGGACACGCTGTGGAGCAGTGGAAGGACGCAGAGTCATATAGTGAGTGCCAAGTACAGGAGGAGGACGCTGACGCGGAGCACGACGACCAGCGCGGACAGCGCGGACAGGCGACTCTGGACGAGACTCAGGTGACTCAGGACGAGACTCAGGCGACGCAGGACGAGACTCAGGCTCACGACGCTCTGTAAGACCTCTAGTCGGCCCAGCGTAAGGAGAAGGACCAGGCAGCGGAGAGGCAAGCGGTAACTGTGACTGCGACTGGACAGGTGGTGGACTCAGTAGGGGAGGAGAAGGACCAGTGGAGGGGGGGAGGCCAAGAACCTGCTGAAGGAGCGGAACGTAGTACGGCCGCGGCCGCTCAGCACCTCCTGAACCAGCAGAGACAGCACCAGCACCCTCAGCCCCAGGGTCTCCAGCGACAACTCCCGCAGCACCACCAGTAACCCCAGCAGCTCCAGTACCTCCAGCTCCAACCCCCGCAGTAGCTCCAGTCCCAGCAGCTCCAGTACCTCCGGTACGAGCACCTCCAGAACCAGCGGCTCCAGCAGCTCCAGCACCAGCAGGACCTCCAGTAGCTCCAGCACCAGCAGCACCTCCAGCAGCACCTGCACCAGCAGCACCTCCAGCAGCACCAGCAGCACCTCCAGTACCAGCAGCGCCTCCAGTAGCTCCAGCACCAGCAGCACCTCCAGCAGCACCTGCACCAGCAGCACCTCCAGCAGCACCAGCAGCACCTCCAGTACCAGCAGCGCCTCCAGTAGCTCCAGCACCAGCAGCACCTCCAGCAGCTCCAGCACCAGCAGCACCACCAGCAGCACCACCAGCAGCAGCTCCAGCTCCAGGGTCCAAAGCACCAGTAGCGCCACTCCGGAGACTGCAGCGCCGAGCGTACCACTCTCGGAACCGCTGGGGAGAGGGCGGCTCCCGCCTAGGCGGGGAACCACGAGCACCAGCTCCAGCAGCACCCCTAGCCCCAGAAGCGCCCCTCCTGAGGCTGCAGTACCGCGAGTACCACTCACGCAGCTGCTGTGAAGAGGGAGCGCCTCCAGGCGCCGCACGGTCAGTCGCAGCACCCCCAGGCTCAGTACCCTCAGACGTAGCACTCTCAGGCTCAGCACCCCCAGACTCAGCAACCTCAGGCTCAGCACCCCCAGGCTCCGCACCCCCAGGCTCCGTACCCGCAGGCTCAGTACCCCAAGGCTCCGCACCCCCAGGCTCAGCACCCCTAGCAGGACGAGAGTCGACAGCTACCTCGACAGGCTCAACCGGGTCTACCTGGGACACACCTGAGGGAGCGGCACCCTGAGGGGGGAGGGGGTCTACCACAGCAGCACCTGGTGCGAGGAAGAGAGGCGGGGGGGGGAGCGGGGCAGTGCGGTAGGGGAAGAGGCGGTAGTAGGGCACCGACTCGTCGAAGGTGACGTCCTGAGAGGGCAGGACACGGCGCGAGGTGGCGTGGTAAAACTGCCAACCAGACGCGTCCGGGACAAAGCCAAGGAAGACACAAGGAACAGCGCGGGAGGAGAGCTTGTCCGCGGACGTATCGCGGACAAAAGCACGAGATCCCCAGACCCGGAAACGCGACGCATCGCCAACCTTCCCCGTCCACAGCAGTGTGGGCGAGGTCTCCGGCAAGGAGACACGGGGCCAGAGGTTGAGCTGATGCGTGGCGTACCGGACCGCAAACGGCCACAGAAAGTGGGGGGCAGCCGCATGGATCAAGCAGGTACGAGCGACCTCCATGACCAAGCCAATGCGGCGCTCAGCAACCCCATTCTGCTGTGGAGAGGCCGGAAGCGTGAACGACTGCTCAATGCCCTCCCCCTGACAGAAGGCCCTCAAGAGGTCGGAGGAAAACTCCCCGCCTCTGTCAGAGTGCAGACGCAGGACAGGAAAGTCCGAGTGGAACCTCTCGCTGAGCTGGAGACGGGCAGCGCGGATCCAAGGGATCAAAACATCAGGGACTTCACCCTTGGTGCGCAAGGGGAAGACCGTGGTGTAGCGCGAGTAGTCGTCAACAACTATCAAGAAGTACCTCTCGTGACCCTGTCCACGGACGCGGGCTGGGCCCCACACGTCCATGTGGAGCGTCTGCAGGGGAGCAGTCGTCGGGGGAAACGAGGAGGAGTGAGGAGCGGCGCGCTGCCGCCCCTCGACACAGGGAAGACAGGGAGGAGCAGGCGAGGGTGGGAGGGGAGGGAGAACC